TCTGAGGTTGCGATTCTGGAAGGATTTGAACGAAGAAATCAGAAACGCTGCTTTCGCACATCGAAATGCAGTTTTGGATCTCATTGCTTCATCTCTGGATTCCGCCTCGACTCCCTCCATGATCTTCTCAGAGTGAACGCCGGTTGAGCAGGAAATCCAGGTAACTTCTCGTAACGCTACCCGTAATTAGGAAGAATTCATGTCGTGCTGCACAAGTTTATCTATTTATTAGAATTAACCACCAAGCATGTATATATATAATTTTTTTTTAAACAAAGTAAAAATGAAAATTAAAAAATTAAGAGAACAACGACCTTAATCTAACATAATTGGAGTTAAATTAAAAATTTAAGTCATTAATCTGATTTCTAAGTTGGATGTGTCACTGTCATGTACGAACAGATGCACAACTATTCTTCAACTAAGTTTCCAAGATTTTGGTATAGAAAAACCATAAACATGTTCATCCCCATTCATATTACAATCACTTTGATGAAGCTTCGTATTAATACATACACAATAACAAAATTAAATATCTTTTACTTTTATATATATATATATATGAATGAAAAAAAGAAAGTCCGTGTGAATGGTTAGATATAATATTTGGAGTATATATTATTTATAGAATATATCTTGATATTCTCAATTTATATTTTTATCGGTTGGTATTAGATGCTACCTTATATTCTATTTAAACCTTAATGAGAACACACTTTCGATTTTAATTCTATTTCTATTTCTCATTCTTAACCTAAATATTTTTGTCTTTATCATTTGTTTTAATCTTTATTTCTATGAAAATTTTCATTTATTTTTGTGAAGATCTTTATATCGGAATGAAGATTTCTGTAAATATGTAAATATGCGGGGATTGAGATATGGTGCGTGTGTTTTTTTTTTTCATTTTCTTAATATATATATATTTTTAAAAAAAATTAATAGATAATTTTCATTTTTCAATATAATTTTTACCGAAGAAATTAAAAATATCTTAATAAATCAAATAATAATTTAAATATAATATAATTTCTACGTCCATATTATTTTTAAAAATTTTAAATTTATAGATTAGGACATATTTTCCAATATAGGGGAGGAAGAAGAATATAATCTCCCTTCTCAGTCTTGTTTGTTAATGAAGAGAAATCTCTCTCCACTACGTATTTTTTTTCTTAGTATTGTTTAGTTCAGAGAAATCTCTCTCCACTCCCTATTTTATTCTCAGTATTGTTTAGTTAATGAAGAGAAATCTCTCTCTACTTCCTATTTTATTCTCAGTCTTGTTTAGTTAATGAGGAGAAATCTCTCTCCACTTCCTATTTTATTCTCGGTCTTGGTGTAGTTAATGAGGAAAAATCTCTATCCACTCTCTATTTTATTCTCAGTGTTGTTTAATTAATGAAGAGAAATCTCTCTCCCCTTCCTATTTTATTCTGTCTTGTTTAGTTAATGAGGAGAAATCTCCCTCCACTTCCTATTTTATTCTCTGTCTTGTTTAGTTAACGAGGAGAAATCTCTCTCTACTTCCTATTTTATTCTCGGTAGTGTTCATCCTCCAAGGACTTTGTTCGTATATTTAGACATGTTTAATTTTGATAAGGTGTATTAATTATAAATAGGGTTTAATACGTAACATGTTAGAAAATATGAACTAAAAGAGAGAGAGAGAGAGTAAGGTCTCACACAACTGCAAACACATAGACATAAACATTTAATTATTTTTCATATATAATTACATATATTCCAAAACATAAAGTGAAGTCTGGTCCTACTCATAATTCACTAAATCAATAGCCACACACTTAGACTTTATTTTGAATAGGGTTTGGGAAACCTTTTAAGGACTGGGTTTGATTATTATTAGTAGAGCGAGAGGCTATAAACAAGGTTGTAGTTGGTGGGGTTTGCAGGTCTATTGGGTGTATGAATTTGCAGTTGGGGCATGTCGGTGAGGACTTCAATACCATTACCAATAAGTGACACTGCATGCAAACCCTCGCTATCATCTCTTGCTGCGGACACCCATGTCCTTGTTTCCATGCCCCATCGCTCTTCTTCTTTGATTCACCTCCATTTCTCATAGATTGGCTGTTGAGATTCAGCTCAAGGTCCAAGCTCAAGGGATCACCACCTGGGCTAGGCTCCAATTTGCTCCTTGGATCCATGGACGTTCTCTTTTGTGTCTTCGTGTTGTAGAAGTGTATCTTCCCTGACTGTACGTAAATAGAAAGTTGTGTTAGTGTGTAAGTAGAGAAAGCATATGTAACCGTCCAATCCCACATTCATTAGAGAGAGGTTTCTACACCCTTATAAGAAATGTTTCGTACCCCTTTCTAGTCAATGTGGGATTTCACAACCCGCCCTCTTTGGGAGCTCAATGTCCTCGATGGCACACTGCCTGATGTCTAGCTCTGATACTATTTGTAATAGCCTAAGCCCACCGCCAGCAGATATTGTATTCTTTGGAGCTTTCCCTCAAGGTTTTAAAACGCGTCCAGTCCACTAGAGAGAGATTTCCACACCCTTATAAGAAATGTTTCGTTCCTCTCTCCAACCAACGTGGGATCTCACAATCCGTCCTCTTTGGGAGCCCAACGTCCTCGATGGCACACTGCCCGATGTCTAACTCTGATACCATTTGTAACAGCTCAAACCCACCGCTAGTAGATATTGTAGGACTTCCCCTCAAAGTTTTAAAACATGTCTACTAGGGAGAGGTTCCGCACTCTTATAAGAAATGTTTCATTCCCCTCTCCAACCCAACGTGGGATCTCACATAATATTAGTGTACAAGTTTAGTACCTGAATGTCAAGACATCGTTGCCACTCTAAAGGTAACGGAGACTCGAGGTGGAGCTCGATATCAGCCGGAGAATTGAAGCTTCCTCCTGGTGGCTCTTCCCATTTTCTCTTCATTTCTCTCTTCATCTCGAGAATTGAAGAGGGTGGAAAAAGGGTAGATATAATATGAAGGATGGGGTTGGATAATAGATATAAGTGCAAGGACGAATCTAGTTGGGGGCAGGGTTTGATGGTTGAAATAAAGCGCTCGTCCTGCCACTACCTATGCATGGCGTTGGCTTTCCAAAACTCAACTCCAAGCCTAGCACACCCCTTCCCCCAATTAATGAAGCAACCCAGCCAACATCCAAATATAGAATCACAAGCTCTTAAATCCGATTAACATAGCTGAAAAATGGTTACTGGGAGTTCGTATGTATTTATGAAGGCGGTGAGGAGGGGGGGGAAGAGGAAGGTGGGTATGTTGAATGGCAGCCATTAATGGGGGGAAGCTCTTGGATGGCCGCTATGTGATCCTTTTAATATACTAAGCTCTCAACATCCATATGTGTTAAAAGCACTTATAACTGGAAACAAACGCCCAAATCTTGGTGAAATGATGTTGTTTACACAAAAGGGTAAGCTTAATTCTGTTTTGGTTGCAAAAGGGATGTTATGTATGTGAGGTCATTTAATGCATAGATGGAAAAGGGGATTGGTTTGAAGTAAGCCTACCTGCCTTCATTAACTCATCATGAATTCACTTAAATGATAAAGGGATGGCCATGGGAAGACGGTTGCTTTATTGCTCCACCTGATCTTGCTTCCTCTACCCAACCTAAGCTCTCACCTTGGATTTGTATTGGTTGAATGGCCCTTTCATTGAAGTCCCACGGTTTCAGTGACACAACTTACTCAGCTCTGCTTTTAAACATCTACTTCCCAAGTTGCAGAGAACCCCATTTATATGCAAATGCCCGGGTTTTAATTGTTCGGGATTGTTAGAAAGTACTTTCGTATGGCTAATTGAGGAATCGATCATGAATTTATAAGTAAGGAATAGATCTTCGTTGTTACGAAATTTTTGGAAAAATTAAAGCAAAACTATGAGATTTATGCTCAAAGTGAACGTGGATCATCTATCGAGATGAGCACTTGTATTGCATTGTTGAACCGGAATTATGTGGGTTAGAGTTAGAGATTGAATTCAAATGGAGTGATTAACATGAATGAGAAAGGGCTAAGCTTGAAATATGAACTATTTCATGTACTTAGTTAGAATTTGTTAAGTAAACCATTTTAGAAGTGTTGTGATGTTTAAGATTGGTTGGGGAGGAGAACAAAAAATTATTTATAAGCGTGTGGAAATCTTCTTATAGCAGATGCGTTTTTAGCATTGAGGGGAAGCCCGAAAGGGAAAGCCCAAAGAGGAAAACATCTGTTAGCGATGGGTTTGGGTCGTTACAAATGGGATCAAAGCTAGATACCGGACGATGTGCCAGCCTTCTTGTTGTTCCTCGAAGAAGGGTAGATATGAGGCGTTGACCAGAGCCAGACACCGGACGATGTGCTAACTTCTTGTTGTTCCCTTCTTGTTGTTCCCCGAAGAGGGGTAGACATGAGACGGTGTGCCAGCGAGAATGCTGACTTGCTTGTGATGTCCATCCGTAGGATATGCTTGAATTATGTTTTTTTTTTTTTTTTTTTTGTGTGAAGTTTTAAATTATTAATTT